GCCACCTGCAGAGAAGAAATCCGCGTGGGGTCGGCCACCTGAGGCCAGCCTCCTGCACCCTCCAGTGCGGAGCTCCCTCCCCACGTGGGAACTCAGATTTTGGGCCGCCGTGCTGTGAGCTTCCTCTGAACCTGTTTCCTCTTCTGGAAACAGGCCGCTCCTTCCTGGCTTTCTGGTTATTGTGGATGAGTCTCCCCTGACATGCTTTCACCCCAGGTCCCCGCGTCCTCCGCGCCAGCTCTGTCACCCTCATCACGAGCCAGTCACCCCCTAGCGGGCTCCCCGTGTGACCTCTGTCACCCCTTGTACTCATGGCTCCTGATTTTCCAGCCTCTACGTTGAGACGAGGGAACGGAGGCTCGGAAAGTGTAGGCCAGGCCGGTTGGTGTGGACAGCGCGGTTCTAGTCCCGCACTGCCGCTTGGACACGCTGGGCCGTGTGCACGCGAGCCTGAACTCCGAGAGGAAAACGGAGAAGGACTGCCGCGTGACCAGGGGTGTGCGTTCCCACTCTCCCTCTCCCTCTCCCCCAGTCTCCCTCTGCTAACAAACCACCAATGGGCGCCTGAGTCCCTAGCACCAGGTCCCCCAGACGGGGTGTCAGCAGCGGCTGGCTTTGAACAAGGGCCTTTCATGCTCACCTCAGCGGCCCCTTCCTTCCCCACTGCAGAAAAAGACGGGATTCTGGGCCAGCAGGTGGCACGGAGGTTAAGGCGCCGGGTCCCACACGGCCAACTGCACGGTTCAAGTCCCAGCCCTACAGCTTGAGGACGAGCTGGGCAGGGACCAGCGGAGTAGTCGACTGCAGTTCAAATACCAGACCCGGTGGCTTACAGCTCATGCCAGCTGTGCGTGCCCAAGATCCTGCCCAAGACCCTGAGAGGAGGATGGAGGAGAAGGCACCGCAGTGTGGCCATTCCCCCGGGGGGTGATCTCTCACTTTCTGTCTCTCTGGTGAGCACATGCGCTTTAAAACAAAAAAATCTCTTAAAAAGAGAAAGAGAAAGAAGAAAGAAAAGGAAAGGAAAGGAAAAGAAAGGAAGAGAAAAGAAATCGCGCTGGGCATGTGTATGCATGGCCAAAATCCCGACGAGAGGCAGGGAGGGACTGTGGCCTGGCGGGCTCCCCTAGGGGGTGACTTCTCACTGCCCTTCTCTCTGGGGAGGGTGCATGCCATACAGAAAAAAGAAAGAAAGAAAATATTTTTTTTTCAAAGAATTATCATCATTTATCTTTATTTATTTATTTTAATTTGACCAGAGAGAGAGAGAGCGAGAGAGAGAATGAGAAAGCCAGCCGCCAGGGGGCCGGTAGGTGGCATGGTGGTCAAGGGCGCTGGACTCCCACATGGTAGACCGAGGTTTGAGTCTTGGACCGGGTGACTTGCTTTCTCACTTTCTCTCTTTCTCTCTCACTCTCTCCCTCTCTGGTCAAACTAAAATAAATAAATCAAGTTAAATAAAATAATTATCTAAAAAAATTTGTTTAAAAAAAAGAAAGCAAGCACACCACCAGGTCACGGACTTCAACTGTGGTCGGCCACGTGGGAGTCCAGTGCCCTTAACCACCACGCCACCTGGTGGCCCCTACATTAATTACTTCAAAAAACAAAAAGAAAAGAAAAACACATGCGTTTACCAGCCTGAACATTTCAGTCTGGGAAGAAAAATCAGCCTCAGCGATGTAATAATAACCACTTGTGTGGGCCTGCAGGAGGCGTAGTGGTTAAGGGCGCCGGACTCCCTGTGGCTGTCTGCAGTTCGAGTCCTGGACCCGGAGTCTTGCTTTCTCACTGTCTCTCTGTTTTTTTTTTTTTTCTCTCTCTCTCTCTCTCTGTGTACCTCTCTGGTCAAATTAAGAAATAATAATGATGAGTAAATAAATAAAGTTAAAAAGTTTTAGAGGGACCAGCAGTTAGCACAATGGCTATGTCACTGGATTCCCATGTAGTTGACTGCGGTTCGCATCCCGGACCCGGTGGCTTAAACTCATGCTGGGCACGTGTGTGTGCATGCTAAAGATCCCAAGAAGAGAACGGAGGAGAACGGTTTGCGGCATGGCCAACCCCCTGGGGGGTGATTTCTCACCTTCTTTCTCTGTCTTTCCTGTGAGCGCATGTGCCCTGTAGCAGAAATCTCGGGGGGGCGGGGGAGGGCAATTTAGGGAAAAAATAATAAAACCCATCAGTTGTGTTTTTTGAGCTCTTACTGGGCTCCAGAGCCTACTGAGCCCTTCACTGGCCCCGCCGTCCCCACCCTGGCGGGGGAGCGCAGGGCTAGCTGTGTTTTGGCAGCTGAGGAAGTGGGCACAGACCAGGTAAGCCACTCGCCCAAGGTCACACAGCAGGTAAATGAAAAGAGCGGGGGCTTGAGTCCAGTCTGCCTAACTGGCAGGAACGCCAGCCAGAGGCTCGGAGCTGTGACTCATGACATCCGGCGCCCGACCCCCTCGCTCGCAGGTTCTGGGCTGGCTGGAGGCTGAGCCGGCCTGGGGGGCGGGGAA